AACTAGATGTCAGCCTGTTTTTCTTGGCCAGAGGACTCAGCTGTGTTAAGGGAAAGGGATTTTTAAGAAGAGGTGCTTCCGTTTATTTTTGAACGCGATATAATGAAGTTGGAGGAGGCTCCCAGAGAGGGCTGCCTGAAGTGATCAAAGGGATGAGAGAGGAGAGGAAAGGGGAGGCAAAGAGCTATGTGAGGCCTGGATAAAAACAGTCCAGCCAGGTGGAAGAGCAAGAGGGGACATGCAAGAATTACAGAGGTCCCAAGGGGAAAGAGAGAGACTGACTTGTCCATCTGAAACGGACTGCCAGAATTAGAGGAGTTCAGTTCACACAGAACGGAGCTCACTGCCAGAACCCAAGAGTTCGTTCCTCTGCCCCACTTCCCCTGGTGCCTCTAGCAGAGAGAATTTGAAATGCAGGAGACCATGAACCCTGACCCAATTTATTCCCCAACATTTCTTTCTGAAAATTATCAAACATACAGAATAGTTGAAAGAATTGTACACTGAATCCTCAAGTTTTCTCCATTTAGATTCTGCAGTTAACATTCCTCTACTGACTTGATCACATGTCTATCCATCCCTCTCTCCATCCATCAACCCATTTTATTTTTTTATGTGTTTCAAAGTAAGTTGCCAAGAGACCCTGGCACATTCTGACAGTTAAACAGTGGATTGCAGTGGCCTACAAGAGGAGAGACTCAGTTGTTACGTTCATTGCCCCAGATGTCACAGATTTTCCCCCCAAAACTTACCAGTCTTGTGGAGCTTCCTCCCATGATGCTGTTTACTTCTGGGCTCTCAACTTCAAATGTCTCCAGAGACTGGGGAGGTAATGTTGTGAAGGAGTGAAGCAACCCTGGAATAAGACTAGGGAGTGGGGAAAGCTGAGAGCCCAGAGAATACCTGCTGTTGCCACTTCTGTTCAACATTGTACTGGTTTTTCCGGCCAGAGCAATTAGACAAGAAAAAAAAAGCATCTAGCTTGGAAAGAAAGAAGTAAAACTATCTCTATTTGCAGATGACATTCTCTTGTATATGGAAAATGCTACAGAATCCACGCACAAAAAAATCAGAACTAATGAGTGCAACAAGATTGTAGGATACAAGCTCAATATACGAAAATCAATTGTTTTTCTATACACTAGCAAGGAAAAATTTTAAAAGGAAATACATGTTTACTAGACATTTCTCCAGAGAAGATATACAGTTGACCAATAAGCATGTGAAAATATACTCAACATCATTAGTCATTAGAAAAAATGCAATAATGAGATACCACTTCATACCCATTGAATGTCTATAATCAGAAAGATGGACAATAGCAAGAGTTGGTGAGCGTGTGGAGAAATTGGAACCTTATAATTGCTGGTGGGAATGTAAAACGGTGCTGCCACTTTACAGGACAGTTTGGTAGTTACTTTAAGAGTAATCATGGCCCGGCCGGGCATGGCTCAGGGGTTGAGCATCGACCTAGGATCCAGGTGATCGGGGTTCGATTCCCAGTCAGGACACATGCCCGGGTTGCGGGTTCAATCAATGACTCTCTCATTACTGATGTTTCTATCTCTCTCTCTCCCTCGCCTTTCCTCTCTCTGAAATCAATAAAGATATATTTTTAAAAAAAGAGTAATCATGTAGTTACTTTATGATTCAGCAGTTCTACTCATTTGTATCTACCCAAGAGAATTGAAAACATAAGTCTACACAAAAGCTTATACATGGATGTTCGTAGCAGCATTATTTATAATAGCCAAAAGAGAGAAACAACCCAAATGTCCATGAGTTAATGAATGTGGTATATCCATACAGTTGAGTGGCATTTAGCCATGAAAAAAATAAAGCCAAAGAAACCAGACACAGAGACCACATGTTATATGATTCCATTTATATAACATGTCCAGGATAGGAAAATATATGAAAACAGAAAGCAAATTAGTGGTTGCCAAGGACTGGGGGAAGGGAATAATGGGTAGTGACTGCGAATGTATATGGAGTTTCTTTTGGTGGTAATGAAAACGTTCTGGAATTAGATAGTGGTGATAGTTGTACAACTTTGTGAATATGTTAAAAACTACTAAATTATACACCTTAAAGGGTTGAATTTTATGGTATATGAATCATATCTCAATAAAAAGAGATGCACAGAGGGATGGAGGAGGGTGGGTAGGTGGAGCGGGAGAGAGTAACCAAAGAATTTATATGCATATATGCACAACCCAAGGACATGGACAATGATGGGGAGAGGGACTGGGGAGGGGGATGGGACAGGGTGGGAATGGGCCATTGGGGAGAAAAAGGGACATCTGTAATATTTTAAACAAAAATAAAATTTAGAAAAAAGAGATGCAATATAAAAAAGTTCAGTAAAATTCTGTAATCCTATATATTAAATATAAAATTTCAGCATAAACTCATGATGTATTTATTAAAATATATTTCTAGCTCTGGCCACTATAAAGGTGCAGGAACCATAACCAAGCCAGTAGTAATGAATGCCCTTAGTGCCCAGTATCTGAATAGTTATATTGATGATATTAAGGAGCCAAGGTTCCTTGGCAGATTCCAGGTTAGGGCAGAAAATGTACAAGTTAAGCCTGGAGAACCTTCTGATATCTTTTATCAGAAAGCAAGGAAGCTATCAGTACTCTGTGGTCATGTTCAAAGGAGTAGGAGTCAACTTGAGAAGACTCCCTTGGGCTAAGATGGGCTTATTTGGGAACCAATAAGAATAATACTCATTGAACTGAGACATATTATGTGAAAATTTATAAGTTCATAATGAAAACCAATAATAGCATCTTTGGAGGATGCCAGGTAACCAAGTCATTTTGAAAACTGGTAAACAAAGAATCAAGAACTTACCCTTGCCTTTCCTGGACTTGGGGGTAACCACATAATTGATGTGGTAGTTTTTCTTGATAGAAATATTTCTTGATAGAAATATTCCAGCTAGTAAATGAAGAATGATAGAATTAAAATAACATCATTTTTGAAAACCCCTGATGAAATAAGGGATTGGTCAATGGCCACCAACATCACAAAAGGAAAGACAACTAGATATGTGTTTCCCATCGGATGCTCACACCACCTATAAAGAGATTGCCAGAATATCTCATCAAATTACGTCAAACCTCTAGATCTAACTATCGGTTTACAAGAATGGGGGTGGGCGAGTGGGGGGTAGACAGAGGAACACAGACGCACCACGGTGATGCAAGCAGCAAAACGCAGGCTGTGGGAAATCCTATAGGACAAATGACCTAGTTTCTTCAACAAATAAGTTGTAATTTTAAAAAAGAGACTTAGGAGATACATCATCTAAAGGCAGTATATGAGCCTTGTCTTGGTCCGGATTTATACAAACCAATTGCAAAAAAGACACAAGAAGATCCAGGAAATTTAAATACCAACTCAATATTTGATGATATTAAGGAACTGTGGTCATTCTTTTGTGTGTTCTAATGATATTAAAAGCCCGCAGCGGCAGGGCCTTCCACATTCAAGCTTACCATGGGGCTGGTGGAGAGCAGAGGAGAAAATGTGCGCTTTGCTGG